AGTGTGTGATTGGGCCAGACTATTCAAACCTAAAACATTCTCTGATAGCAATGCATCCTGGAATATTGTGTATAATGCATGGTCTACTGTGTGGCACATGATGACAATAACCACAAAAGGTATACTCATTCTCTCTCTTTCACACACACACACACACACACACACACACACACACACACACACACACATTTAGAATATTAAATGTAATTATTAAATCCTCTGTCTAATTCTACTTACTCAGATGGTGGGTCAATACTTCTTGGTATAAAATGTAGCAGCCCTATCACAGTTCTCACAAGTGTGGACTGAATTTTCCTTGAATGCCTGTAAGAGATGAATTAAATATTTTCAGTTTCTGATATCAATTGCCAACAAAGAAAGAAAAGTCAATAAATTAATGAATTTCAGCCACAAAAAGTAAGCAAGTATATATCTCACAGCTAGTACTGGTACATGAAAGGGTTGCATATGCTTTAAAAACTAACCCCAAATCCTGTTATAGTCAACATATAAACAACACTATAATTTTGGTCACCAATACCACTCACATTTGTTTTAATATAATGGCACGTTCTGAAAGAGGGACCGCCTGTTTGACTGTAATGTTAAAAAACACAAGACATGCACATCCCTTTTCTTAATATTTCCGCTGGTGTCTTATCAGGCCTATCCAACTACCAGACTCGGCAGTATCAGTATGCTCTGCGAAGTATCAGACGTGACACTGCTCTTGCCTAGTATCGATGTGATAGTGATGATTCTCAGTGGGGTTAGAAAGTAGTGCACCTCATCTCAAAATTTGTTCCGGGGTATGATACTGTGAAATGCCTACTGATGCACACCTTGAAAACGAGTAGTGTGGTCCAATCTACCAGTGAATTTGGGATCTTTAGGTGCCTCAGTCTAGTAGTTGGGTGGGCCTGTCTTATCTAAAAAAATATTGTAAACAGTACTTACAAATCCAGTAAATACTTCACAAGCCGGTGATCATTCATATCCACTACACCATCGCAGTTTTCTATCTGCCTACTTCCTCGCTGATGTTTATTCTTTGCTTGTTGTAGACCTCTACTGCTTTAATATATAGTAAACTGCTTTTCACATTTTGTTTTTCAGTGTTGATTTTTGTAAAGGGTGTTATCTTTTCCTGTGTGTAATTAATATTTCTTCACTTCTTCGAAGAACCATCTTGAGCCTCTTCTGTCATTTTGCCTTTTCCTGGTAGTGTGAACCAGTTTTAACTAGGTCACAGCACGAGTCTTGTGATATCCAGAAGTCTAGAGTTTAAGCATGAAAATGACCCCTTGAAAACCACTGCATAAGCCAAAGTTTTGATAAATTGCTTTTTCCAAAAATGCTACAGGGTTATGGCGAGTGCTAGAAAAGGTTGGTTAAACATGGGAAAGTGCCGTTTACCCTGGGATAATTCGTTAAACATGAATTTTGGTGCCAAAACTAGTATAATGTTTTAAGTGTCTGTAACTTGGATTTCAATCTTGCCTAGGCAGATTCCAAATCTGTCTGCATTTCAATTGGGTTGTGACGTGTGTGTGTGTGTGTGTGTGTGTGTGTGTGTGTGTGTGTGTGTTTGTACTTACTAATTTTAAAATCTTACCATGAATACCTGTATTCCGAAATAAGTGACAATGTTTAATGCATTCAAAATTAAAACCAAAGCGAGAGAGTAACGGTGCAAGAAGTAACAATGTGGGATTGCACTAATGCAAGTAATATGATCATAATTTTGCTACTATACTGGTATCGTAGGGGGAATATAACAATGTAAGAAAATAAAGGTGCAGCGTAAAATTTTATCTCAGTTATCGACCTTCCATACCAGCTGGGTATACTTACCACATAATCGTATACAGAAGCAAACTGTCGAGACTATCAATATCCACATCCTCCATCAAAAAACCTTGTAGTATATCATTCGCAATTAAAATTTGAAGTCCACGTAAAGCTGACACGAACCACAGAATTGCGTTTTGCGCGTTATAGTCCAGATGACTGGTGCAAAAATTGCTCAAAAAGTGGAAAAAGCATGAAACTTGGCACAAATGTTCTTTGGACTATGCTGATCATTTTCAAGGGCAGTGCCCAAAATTTCAAGGCGTTGCTTAGCAACCGTTGCTAAGGAAGTGATTTACCTTAGTAACAAGCTAATTGGGCCTTTCTTGTTCAGTTTAAATGATTTAAAAAGGCTTTTAATAATGTTTCAAGCCATCAGAACTATCACTTTAATTAAGCCATTAAAAGCCTAAATAAACCATTGCAACAGTTGCTAGGCATCATATTACCCTAGCAACAGGTATTTAACATTATATATTTAATAATATATATACAATTATCTCTGTAGCATTTTACATATCCTCCAGTTCCTTCCCATCTTTTTGTTCCCATTCTACATATACTTATGTTTCTTAATTATTAAGATAGGTACATAAATATTGTATGCTTGCACAAACCCAAATACAAATATCTCCGGAGATCTTTCAATGACCATACCTAAATTATATTTAGCAGGGCAAATGATGCACATCCAAACATTTTTTACAAGTGGACAATCCCAAAAACCATACAGAATATTTTCCCTAGCAGTACTGCAAAATTCCCAAATTGATAAGATAAGCATAAGTATTGAATATTCTATTTATTCTGAATTGGAGCAACTTCATTTTCATGTGATCTGTTTCTTAAATGTTAGTTCCCAATTATCAGTACTCAAGGTTTTTTGTTTAATATGCCTGCCATTCACCTACACCTTTATCTGGTGATATTATATGGCTTTGGAGGATTTTTCTGTGAAAAAATATCTGGATGGTTTGGTAACTTGTTTAATTGAGTCAATTATTTCTTGGAATGCTATGTGTAATTTCCTTCCATGGGAAGACATAGCCATTCAGATGGTTAGCTCTTTTGGATTCTGAATTAGCCCAGAAAGTTACTTTTAAGGTTGATTTTTTGTTGAGTTCCTCTAGAGAGAGGGGATTTTAAATGTCATTTATAATATCATTGATGTAAAAAAATTTACACCATCTTTTATGGAAAATAGTTTTTCAATTTCTTTCAATTTTTGAGTTTTGACATAATGGTTGTGATAGGATTTCATCTGGGGTTAAATTGGGATTTTCCTGAATTTCAATCAAAGAACCAATAATCTTTGCCAAAAGGGATTAGAAGTTGCTTTTAGTATTTTTAATCCACCTTCTGTAACTACCGATTCCTGACATTTCGCCGAGAAAAACGCTTTCCACTTATTCTTATTTTCTTCATAAAGAAGTCTTTTAAGCCATGTAAAGATTAGGGCCTTAGTAAATTTTTTATTTGCGGTACCTTTTACCGTCCATTTTTTGTAATCAGACACCATCCTTGCCCATTTTATTTTTATCTTTTCCCATTCCTGATAAAGTTAAATATGATATGCATATTTTTAAGTATTGAGGGAGGGGGGGGGGCTGGTAGGAGAGTTTATACATGCACTACATAAGATGAGAAATACTAAAGGTTTAACCACTGTTGACTTTCCTATTATTGAAAGGTTTCTCAGAGACCAGATTTCCAAGATATTTTTCATTTTGTTCAATATTTTCTAAAAAGTTTTTTCACATAGTATTCTGTCAGTTTCTATTCTCTACCAAGTAACCTAAAATACCTTCATGGTTCTATTTTAATTCTTTTTGTTAATCAATGAAATTCAAAAGTTTCTGATCACGCCCAAAGGCCATTAGATGCCATATATCTTACTTCCACCAAGCTGCTCTACAACAATATAAGAGCATTCTTGCGAGATGAACATATCTGAATCAGCACTACGGTGCCATGTCATCAGATACCATGTGCTCACTCTGGTTGGACTTGTGCGGAACAGTGGACCCTTGGGGACACATTTGCCAGAAGCTATTGACCTGCCCAGAGGTGTTCCAGTGTGCATGTACATGTTGGTGCAGATGTAGAGGCTGACAATGTGCAAAGGCAAAATGCACTGTATATTGCACATACAAGGGAGAATTTAATGCCTTAACTATTGCTAAGTTTTATAAAGAGTCGTAAGGTGATAAAAGCATGGAAATGACTGGTTACTAACTTTGAATTCGAACATGCTGCCTTAATATAAGTATCTGCAGCGGCAATGTTTTTGATCGGATGTGTGTAAACATCACACAATTTTTTCAACTTACTAGATTAAAAGTATGAATATCTTGCTCAAAAGTGTAGTTCTTAGCTAGTATTATAGATTTGCCTTACTTAATAGACTAACGCAACTTTAAATGCTTGTTGCTAGGGTAATATGCTATCTAGCAACTGTAGCTATACGGTTAATTTGGGTTTTAATTGCCTTCAAATAGTCAAGTGATAGTTCTGATGTCCTGAAACATAGTTATTAGCATTTCTAAACCATTTAAACTGGACAAGAATGGTCGAATTAGCTTGTTACTAAGGAAATTTACTTCCATAGCAACGGTTGCTAAGCAACGCTTTGAAATTTTGGGCACTGCCCTTCAAAATGATCAGCATAGTCCAAAGAACATTTGTGCCAAGTTTCATGCTTTTTCCACAATTTGGCCAATATATATCACCAGTCATCCAGACTATTATAAAAAGTTAGCATTACCGAAGCATAAAAGTTTCATTACAACTCGATCGTATTCAAACTACGCGGCAGAAGTACGTACGTGCTACCTCTTCCGCAAGACATTTTAAATGGTGTCACATACAGCCACTAGAGTGTTTAACACAGGGTTTTATGAGGCCTTACCTGTGTACCACGTCAGGATGAAGTGTGACATATGGGGGGGGGGGGGGGGGGGGGGGGGGGGATGCGGGGACGTTAAGAGAACATCATGAGATAATGATCCCCAACCCCATAGAATTTCGAAGCATTGCATGTTATGATGTATCAGTTATTGGTGTTGTCAGTTTTCAGTTAGCCCTGACAGCACAGTGACAATTCTCTTACAATATGGGAATCAGCTCTGTATGAAATGATTTATACTTACTAGGAAACCGGATAAATAGATTACATTAAGCACCATGCTATTTGCCTCCGCCATGTTTGTTGACAGAAATGCGTTAATTGTGACAGCACACTATCATCCCAAGCGGTCACATCTAGCACATCACGAATATAGATTAACATAGCTAGGATACCAAGCATAGGCTCACTAAATCCACTGTACGGGGAGTCAAGCTGAATGGATTTTTTTAATCCTTTTTTTAAAGTAAGATAGAGGAAGAATTGCTTATCCAAGTGGAACTTTACTTAGATCAGTCAAGCACCTCAATCACTGAAAAAATAATTACTAGATTTATCTGTTCTGACAAATAAATAAATAAATAAATAAATAAAACAAACGGGCTAAATTTTAAACTTTCGTTACTTTTGCTTGCAGCACTATCACTCATTCTCCCATCAGTCTAGTTGTTTATCTTTTTAAAATAACGTAATAAATAGCTTGCAGCTACTTTCTTGTTGTCATCAGCATTATTATTATTATTATTTATTTTATTTATTTATTTATTTATTTTTTTTTTTTTGCAGCAGGTCATTATCTTTAGTTTTTTTTATTATCTTGTGTTTTTGTAATATTTTAGCCATGCATCTAAAATATCTTTCAGTTACACCCTGTTGTGGTAACATGAAACAGCATTCTTTTAGAAAGAAATTTGCAAAACCTTCACTCCCAGACATGGTGAACATATACTTGAAGTTAAGAGCAAATTTATCATTAAATTAAACATGCATCTTGTAGTGTAATTTTTTTAATATTACAAACGTGTAAATATTATCTAAAAGCTTTCTTATACTAGTAGAGAAAGTTGTAATTTTATGCTAGTAATAGGATTGAATACACATATGCCTTTATGAGGATTGGGTTTAAACTCCTCAAGTAAGAGAAGTGAATGGGCATGGGCTCTTATCAAAAGTTTGGAAACTCGTCCTATGGACATGGCTGATGACCATGTTCTAACTCATAAAGACAATTATCATAAGAAAAGAGATGTTAAAAACAAGAGTCATCCATGTGATATTCATGAACTTCAGAAAAAGCATGAGTTTAGTTCGAGGAACCGTCCAAAGTCCTCTGCAGCATGTCAATCAAAATCATTTTATCCTGTATGTCACTATTTTTTTTTCTGTAAATCAATGGACACTTTGAATATGCCACGATGTGAAAAATGAACATTTCTCAAAAAAAAAAAAAAAAAAAAAAAAAAAAAAATATATATATATATATATATATATATATATATATATATATATATATATAAAGCTTCAAGTAAAATAATTGGATCAGGCTTGTTTTTGAACTTTACGTGTATTTTGGTGCTTATTGCGTTATCTGCATTGCACATATGCTGAAAAGTGAAAAAAAGAGCATAACTTTTGGAAAGCTGGTATTTTAATCCTTCCTGTATTTTATGAATTTTCATAATTTCCAGAATTTTGAAGGCAAAAGGTAGAAAGGTTTTTCGTTTATTGTGTTTTCTCTGAAAGTGCTTGATGACAATGGATGCAAGTGACAGCTACGTGTATAGACACATCTGTGTCTGTTCATAAAAATGTTTTCCACTTAAAGTGTTATATCTGAAAGTGTATGATGCAGACAGATGCAGGTGATGGGTATGAATATGTGCAGACCTGATGTGCCTATAAATAAAATTTGATGAAATTATTACTTTGAGAAGAAGAAACTGCACTGGGTCTCCAACTCACCTTATCCACTATTGTAAGTTTGAGCTTGGCAGTACACAAAAAAAAAAAGGATTTTTTTTTCAATTTTGATGCAATACTACATAATGCTTATGCTATGCATAACGCTATGTTCAGACACTAAGTACAGATTTTTCCAAATTGTCAATGGAATTTCCAAAGGAAATAGTAAAACTTGAAATAAACAATGAATACTATTCTTATGTAAATCAATAAGGTTCATCCTTGACCAATTTCATATCTACAGAATTTTTTTTTTATACCAAATATCTAAAATTGTGCTTTTGTCAGCAACCGAAAAGCTGCACATAACTACAAATAAACAAACATGTTGACCATTATAGTTGCATTTTTTTAGCAAGTAATAAGTCAAGTGTTTATCAATTTAAATTTATGTTAACAATTAAATATGCCAGGAGATGTCAATCAAATAGACACACTTAGGTGATGACTTCACACCCAGACGCAGTTTCTGTACAGAAAAATAAACCCTTACTATCTTTATTTGAATTTGAAAATTTTATTATTAGTGCTGATACTACATGAATTTGTGGCCTTAGATAACTCTGGAAACTTTTTAAGTTCCTTTAACCACATCATATTATTTGGACAATTTTACACATTCCATGTGGTGATGAAAAATATGCATGGCACCTTTCAACTTCAATCTAAATTGTGCCATTCACATATTCTATAACAACTGATAAATTAGGTGTATAAAGCCCATTATGTGGTTTACGGTAAATGTTACAGTCTTTCTTTACACATATTATTTAAAAAAAAAATTAATAATTACAAGTGCATCTAAAGTAAATGTTTATATGACAAGGTAAGAAAAGAAATTTTCCCATATAGTTCAGATACTTAAAATAGACATAATGATAGTTGTCATGACCAGCCATGCAAATATAAGTCATGTTGGCTTATCAGAATCACACATTTGTCATTGTGTAACAAATACTATGAAGCTACATATGTAATATATGTATTGGTCTTAATTTCCTTTCAACATGTACTCAACAGCATCAAAAAAATAAATAAAAATACAAGAATATAATAACAACCTAATGTAATGCAAGTTCTTTATATTTATACATATATATGGCTGTATCAAGAAAATGCCACTTCTCCTGGTAGAGTGCCTTATCGTTACTAAGCATTTTAAAAAGCAATTAAAAGAATACATACCTGACCAGAAGGATGACTCTCATTTGAAATTACTGAACAAGTAGTGAACAGCATAAAAATAGACATCACCCACTAATTTGTTAACTTAAATAACTCCATATTTGTGCCTACATATTTAGAATTGTATTACTTTTATCTTTTAAAGAAGCCAGTTCTACTCCTTTTAAAATAAGTTTGGGTTTGTGTTAACATCATCTCCATATAAATTCAGTATGCAGAAATGTTCCAAATTATAAATGAAGAAACAATTTCAGAATAATTGTAATTTATAAATATCAACAAGGCAGCAAAGTTGTCAAATGGACAGACGTAAGTGTCAAATCTGATATAAGCAAAAACCATATAAGCTAATACAATCTGAAAATAATAAAGAATTAAGAAAGTGCACATTTTTTTGGTAAATTGCAATGCCATATCAAGTAACAATAAAATTACTAACAATTTTTAAATACATGCTGTTACTATGGACTTTCAAAAATTAACAGGGCTTGAGACCCACATGGACTCAAAATCACATCTTGAAGATGCCAATGTGTGAAAAAAAAAATTAAGATTCCACAAAAATAATCACTTTAAGAAAAAGAACCCCAAGAAGCTTATAATCAAACATAACTTGAACTTCAGTCCTGTGAATCAATACTGTAAGTTAAAAAATACAAGAAATATCATTTTTCCAATTGGTTAACGATAATGGATCATGTTCATGTCAATTTTGGTACAACGTGGTTTTCCTACTTTTGTTTAAATAAAGAAAAAGTGAAGGACCAGGAAAGTGCATGGCAACAATGATGAGAGATGCAGTTGATGGCTAATGTCCAGACACACTTGGTCTGTCCATAAAAAGTATTTGTAGAAAGATAAAAGAAACACCCAAAGTTAAAATATGATTTACTAAAACCCTAGGCAAAAAGCCAGCAGTGCAAATCTACAATATGAAAAAAAGTTGCCGCAAAACACCTGTCATGTAAAATCAACAATGAACATCATATATATTTGTATACAAATCTTAGCTTGGCAAATAAATGCACTTCATAACCACTGGCATCAAAAAAGCAACTAAAATGTCTACCATCCAAATCATATTGATGCCACTCAATGGTATTGGCTGCTCTGCCTGTGCGCAGCACTTATGGTATACAATTTGACTGTATAATACAAGGGTAGTCTAAGTTATATATGCCACATTTGTTACCATACAAATAACAATATACACAAGACCATATTGATAAAATATATACTACAATCAACCGTATTAAGCTAAAATATCTACATTTCTCTGCACTTTTAATATACATCTTTACATATTCTGTAAAAGGTTTCCAAGCTCCATCTTAACAATTATCAATGATCTGTCCATCATGGAAACAAAGTCACTACTAAACAACTTCCATTTTACAAATCTAAATTAAAATAGAATATCTAATAATCTTTTAAATCTATCTCTTAATCAGAAGCTCTAGTACTGTCAGCAAATTTTATTTACAGATTAAACAGGGCAAAATGCCAGTATCTGACTGACAATATGACCTGCATATAACCCAGAATGAGGGAGAGAACATTGTTATATTACTTTGGCTGACAAGTCAATGTCCCTACTCCAATCTACTGCTGGCAACCTCACCTCAAAATACTCCTAGCTACCTTGTCACCTTTAACAAAAATTGATCTCATCGAGGCAGTTCAGGCTGATTTGGTCTGCGATTATCTTATACATAGAATCCTTCTTGGTTGTCAATTATGTAATTCTAGACAGGAAAAGAAGCCATTAAATTTCATAGCAATGTGAAGGGTATTTATCACAAAACTGAGAGGAAAGAAGATAATCAACTTGAATATATAGCCATGTCTATCAAGCCATACAAAGATCCCTTCTGTGATACATGCTTGATAACGATAATCTCCTTTTGAGTCACTACCTTATTCAAATTAATATTTAAGCTTTTCTCCATTCCTAAAAAAAAACTAACTGGGTTGCACATAACTTCTATCAGGAACCACATAATCTCATAAAAGGGATGCCAACATATTTAGGCATTTATCTTGCCACAGTAAACACTACCTGGAAAGAAAATATATTTGCTACTTTGCAAGAAGACATGTTTCCCCAATAAACAATAAATCAAACCATATATCAAAATGAAGGTCTCATCCAGGGTATTTCCAATGTAAGAAAAAAATAATAATCCTAAATTCTATGATCAATGTACAATATTTCTCTGCATCTCGCCTGACAAAATACAACCCAAGACCTTTTACTATAAAAATTTACAATTCAACAGAAAAACCAGTAAATAGGTTGCCAGAAAAATTAAGGTTTCTATAAACAAGTCAAAGAACATCTGTGTTAGATATCTTAAGGAAAAATTAATCATGCACCCTTTCCACATTAAATATATATTTAGTTTTTGCATTGCTCCAGTTGGACTCAAATTGTTGCAACACTGAAATCTGCGCTGCTTAGTGTGAAAAGGTACATATTATCATAATCTTAAAAAAAAAAAAAATGAAATATGGTTAGAACTTGCTGCTAAGAATTAATATCATTAAAGGGAAACTGTAGCATATCATTATAACTCAATGCCTGAACTTAGGTGACATTATATACTAGGAAGGTCTTTCATTTCCACACTAGATATGAAAGGTGGTGCATATACAAACAATAATAAACAAAGAAATTCAAAGAAACATTCAATGACACCTAGGCAAGATAAATGGCATAAACCTTATTGAAATTGTAATTTTCATCCTAAAAGCAGGTATAGCTGGTCTTAAGACAAATCTTTTTCATTAATCAGAATTTATGGTTTTTCTAACCAACCATTATACACATTACTGTATCAGCACAATCTTTGAACTAATGGTCACCACCAACAGAACAGGGCATGAAGAGCTTTTCTAAATGCAATAATGGATTTCCATATGTACCGAAAGTTAGAATGAGTTTTTTAGCCCAGCATTTAAATGTTGTAGCACCAGTGAAATGCACTGACTGCTCCCAAACTATGAGCATTTCAAAGACCCAATACTAAAAATGTATTGTTTCTTCAAATTTGGGGAAACAGAGGTGACGCAAGACTCTGGACCTATTTAACCTTGAAAAACTGACCAAAGATGAAGTCCAAAGTCATATATGAATCCTCTACTTCTGAACTCCTGTGGCAACTATCCTTTTTTTTCCCTCATTGGTTAGCAAAATATTAGTTGAGTATAGAATACACTGCAAATGTGCAATTAGACCTTTTTTAATTAAAGCAATCCCTATGACCCTCAGTGCAAATATCAGAATTTCAGACTTGGAACTTGCCATCCCTGTAACGCTGCACACTAACACAGCTTCTGAAAACCAACAGAAATTTTGTATCCCCCCCACCCATTTGTCATTCAAAATAGGTCAAAGGTCAAAGACTATGGCTAGATTTTAACTCTCCACAAGACTTTGGACCAACTTCCTGTTGTTGTTTCTTATATTTTCCTCAGTTATTAGATATTTCATATCTAATTAAAAAAACAACAAAAAAACTTGACAATGGTAAATTTTGACGAGTGCCAGACCTGTGAAAATGCACTGAAGGGCCTCAAAATCTAGAAAGTTCAAGTAGTGATGATATGTGACCTATACCATTAGATTGAGCTTGAAGGTCTCTATTGTCTTTGAGCAGCAACAGCAGCAAGTGAACTAGACTTGCATTGGTTTCACATTTCACTGAAGGTACAAGTAATTAAATATGCTGATTTTAAAACTCACCTGCATTTTCACCAAACAAGAACTAGAAAATTTTAAGTTGAACAATAATTTTGCTTGACAGTTAAGGAGTCAAGTAAATAATGATTCATTTCCTGTGAAAAATAAGTCATCACGATAATTTTCAAAAGAAAAGTAAAACCAAAAAACAGTTTTGCAGCTATGGTGTCAACTTAAGTATCAAACATCACCAGCAATGGCATGGACAGACACAGGTAATCAGTATACATACATATATAAATATGCAGTGACTGTATATGTTTCTAAAGGAGCTGAAAAGAATATTATACAGCGCATAAAACTAACCAAGTTTGGTTAGAAGGAAGGGCATTTATAATACTTATAACCAAGTTAAATGACTTAAAAATATATTCCATCCCTTTCACCTCTGCCCCTTCACTAGTTACATACCATATTCCTTTTAAAAAGGCTTGAAATGACTCATGATATAGGAGGTAGGAGGAACGAGTGCAGAAAAATAGCCTATTATCACACCAATTAGGAACTCCCCATATCAATGACCCACTTTCTTCCCAGAATTATTTTGGGTACAGTTTGGGTAATATAGCTCTTGGTCAACCTTTTCACCACAACCAAAGCCGCGTTCTACTCTGCTGTTATTTTAAACACATATACAAACACAAACTAAGTCTCTCAGCAGTAAGCAGACACGACTTTGTAAGAACAGTAATTTCAATGATACATTGTCAATCTTACAGAGTAAGACGTTTCATTTGCCCAACTATTGGTTTTCTTTTTTTTTCACTTGTCAAACTGTCATAGTATTTTACACTGCTGCAAAATGCTCATAATATTCAAATCACAATTTTAAGAAGTTACACTAGTTATAAATCATAGACATATTTTACCATCCAGTGAACACCTTTCCACATTTGCAGTTGTGTAAAAATGATGCAAGTCTTACGGTCTTACTTCTTCCCATAATTGGCAGGCCTGGTACACATCCTGGAAATATGCTGAACATTTTACTCCTACTTTGCTTTAACTTTTACCCCTTTTACTACAGCCACAGCACTTATAATAATTTTGAGAAGTTTTATAAACCTTATAGAAAAGATATGTCACAATCAATGGGAGAGAAAGGAAGGAACCTGTGTGATGAAATTAAACCATGTTAGCAGATGAAAAAAATTAAATGCTCACATCTTTCACTGTTCTTCAGGTTGCGTTCCCTAACACCTGTGTCTCACACATGTAAGGTCTCTGTAAGTCCTCATGCAATGGGTCTTTCCTACAGCAACACATATTCAGTGTTGTATTCTAGTGAAATATAACAACACAAAATAATGGGGAAAGTATATATAGAATAAAACTGCAACTAGTACTAGCTGTAAAAGGGAGTTTTGGTGAGGCAAATGTGTGTAAGGTTATATTTGCTGACAGTTATTGCCATTATTTCTTATCAGCTGATGTAACACAATCATCTGAACTTACGGATGCTGTATACGACACCTAAACTGATTGCTTGGAGAAATCAATGGATATGACTTTTTCCCAGTTCATAAAAATGTGACAGCTTAGCATTCAATAAATAAGAATCTCTCCACTTAATTGCCCAATCTACTACATGCTGCTGTTCAGTCCACAGTACTAGATATATTTGCCATATGGTTCCAAGCATGTGTTTAGTACACATGCTAGCTAGCATGTTCACACTATCAGTTATCAACTATCCAAAGTGAATTAAAGCTTCTCTCAGTATGCAGTAACTTATTATCCTTATTATCGTATAATTCCTAACAAACAAGTCAGTTCTCATCTTATCCTCTCGCAAAACCTTGTTGTTTCACAAATCAAACCTTCTGTTCTTCAAGCACTTAGTTCATAGTTCTTATGGCATAAAATATAAATAAAAAATATTTACTTCACTTTTAGACCCCATTTCCATTGACACCATCAGGCTACATAGATCTATCCAACTCTTGAGGGTACTTAACCTGGGGAAAACCAGCTTACCTTAATGACACACCTCCTCCTGCCGTGGTGCTAAAGACAGAAAAGCTGTTGTTTATAGGAGTAAACTGGTAACTAGTGTCATTTAGCTACGCTGATGGCACTCAGCGAGTGTCCCTGCATAGTTGGATCGATATATGTAGACCAAGTGTGTACATGGGAATGGAGTCCAAGACAAGCAGAACAACTCAATCAGCAACAAGGTCCCTAACATGCAATTCATTATATATCACCTCTCTTACTGGCTAGTCTCATGTTGCTGAATTTTCTTCAAATTTGTAAATTTCATAACAATTGTATTATTTAATTTTAATTAATTTGAAGATTCCATCCCAACCTTAGCCAAGCCTTCAGTCTTTGCATTTCCTTCAGTTTTCCTATCATTAATTTTGTTCTATCTATAACAATGATATATGGTAACAGTGTTCTCTCCACACACAACAATGGACTGACATAAACCATTTTATCTGATCATGTACAATCTTTTTTTTTCACCTTTTTTTTTCACACTGCAGCTGGCATGACCTCCACTTCATAAACCTGATATGATTTTTACCAGAACCATATATACATCACACCTGGCACAGTAATTACTTCTGTTCATTTCACTGTATAAGCTGGTGTGTCAAATACTCCTTTTGTTTATGTTATCAACAGAAGGAAGGCCGTGCCTACTCCTAAATGCAATAAAACTGCTGATATTCATCTCACTGGACCAAATTGGTATTAGAGTTTGGAAAATTCTGCTGAAGTTGATCAAAAGTAAAGTCTAAGTTTCCATCTATGCTAAGTTCCTGTCGTATAACTTGGTCAACATCACATTCTATGCCTTCTGCTTGCAGGCTATCCAGTGTAAGGTCTATATCATTAGGAAACATTTGCAGTTGCCCACCCATCTGTTGCTGTTGTTGCATGTTCACAGTGTTCACATTAGCAACGTTCCCCATGAAATTAGAAGTATTCATTTGCAAGCTGGTAGGAGAGCCCGAGATCCGAGGTACTTGCAACTGTTTGGTCTGTGGCTGTTGCAAGGCCTGACGCAGCAGAGAATTATCTGTGCCAACAGACAGACCTACTCTGTTCACTGGCGCATGTTGTTGCTGTTGAGACTGTACTGCCCGCTGGAGCTGAGGTGAACGCTGGGGTTGCTGTGATGGCTGCTGCTGTTGCTGTACCACATTAAGGCTGTTAGTATTACGGAATGCACTGTGGTTGTTCAGGGTGAAGTCCAGATTTCGGCCCTGGTTTTGCATGCCTAAACCTGTAGTGGACAACATAGGGTTGTCTCCCATGATGGGCTCTGGTTGATACAAACCCATGGAGGAATTCAATTCATCCAAATCCAAGAACTCCCGTGTTTCACTCATCTGACCATTTTGGATGGTAGTGGATATAATATTATGTTGGGGACTGCTGCGCAGTGTCTCTGGATAAGGTGGGGGTGCTGGGAGGTTGGAGCCAAACTGCAAGTTATTGTAGCCATTACTCTGTTGCGATGTTGGTTGTGGACCAAACTGTCCCAGGGTTTGTCCTACATTGTTAAAACTGCTTACATTGGGGACGTTGGTTAATGTGGTGAAAGTGGGAGGCATGGGACTGTTTCGTGATCCACCACCACCATTCATTGCGTCAAACTGATCTCCAGTGAAGGCAGACATACATGGTGACATATTGCCGGGTTCTAACTTCATCATGTCTGCCATACTGTCAGTAAGTGAGTCAGCAAACCTGTCCTGTCCACTATTGTTAAAAGGAGCACTTAGATTTGAGGAGCTGCCCATGTCATTCCAAGGTATAGGAGACATGGGAGGAACTTGGTTTTCATGCAAGTCTGGCTCATACACTGCTGATATGGGTGAGAGGCGACCACAGCTGCTGGCATTAGAACTTGCACGTGGGCGGAAATGCTCGGGACTTAGCTGGTGATGGAGAGGGGAATCCACCCAGCCATCTGAGGAGGCTGGACTCCCTTCTAAAGCTTGGCGGAGTTGCTCCACCTTTTTCTTCACTCTACCACGTTTCTTTTCATATGCTTTTGTATCCATGCTAGTTGCCCTCCTGCGTGGGGACTTCCCAGGTTTGGCATCAGGGTTGATAACCCACCAAGAACTCTTGCCTGTGCCTTCATTTTGTATACGCATAAAACGACTGTGAAGTGACAAGTTGTGCCGAATAGAATTCTGAAAAGATAAAATGAAAACAATAAGGAATTGATATGATTATTCCAGTGCTTTTGATACAGAATTTTTATCATCTTATACTTGAACAAGGCAGCAAAGCTGTCAAATGTACAAAAATAAAGTACAAAAAACAATGACAGTGCACAAAATAATATTACATAATGCTAAACAGCATAATCACCATCAATTTTTATCATGTGCTAATGTAAAGTGGACAATCCCAAAAATAGTAGCACAGGACTTTAGGCCTCAAGTGTAAAAATGAAAAGAAAAAGGCATAACATCCAAGAAAAATGGTCTGTTATAAGAATTTACGCTAGTTGTTCAAATAGTTTGATCCATGCAAACAATCCGACCAAAAAAAAAATAAAAATAATAATAATAATAAATAAAATAATAAATTATCTTAAATTTTTTTCTGGGTTCAAAAAATTAGAACAAATGTTAAAATCATGCAACAGAATTTTTTCTTGTTCTGATTGTTTGACCATGTTGTTAGCAAGACTCGGTAAATTTTCAAGCCAGTGAATAGATGCTGCATGCTACCGCCCTTTGTCAGTTGTTGAGCTTTCAATGGCTCTTGTCAATGACTATAATCAAGGAGAACCTTCAAATTTCTGTTTAGACACCAAATATCAACATTGGGTCAGATATGTCCTAAAACACCTTCTCGTAGACCATATGGCAGTAAAAAGTTTTGAATAAATAAGTAATTTATTTTCAAATTTGTTTTAAATATGTATGCAAATAGGGACAAGTCACTGAGGTCAAATACTGCAAGATTTTACATTTACTACAATCATTCCACAGAAATATATGCAGGATCGACCAGCCCAGACTTTTTGGCACCAAATACCATGCACTGTCAAAATCTGATGAACATCTATGAGCAGGTCATCTACATGGAAAACTGATTTGTCAACAATAAGGACAACTGATGTCTTCATTATACATAAATACAGTTACTTGTATGGCAGAGAAGACAGAGATACATGAAAGGTTGATATTACTTAGCGTAATCTGTGAAGACCTCCATTCCTGTGACCCCCTTCCCCCCACAATTGGACCGTCTTCATAAACATCTGGATTGCACAAGGTAGGAAGGAGCAGATCAGATCAGACCAGACTATTTTTTTTGTAATTCCTTGATTCTAACATCAAATTATAAATGCATTTGTTTTGTGGACAGTATGGCAATTAAATGCTTAATTTACGTTCAGGTTGTATCAATGGGCGTCTTAATATGCACCCAGACTTGTGCACAGCTAGTGTATATAAATAAGATCAGAATAGTCACAACAAGATGTGTCTATTGGCACAGGTAGGCTCCTTAGATTGCCTTTTATCAATATGTTTAACATGATATAATTAATTAGTAATTTAAGGTGACACTGAATTCAGTTTGAGTACCAGTTGGTATTCTATGATAAGGGCAATTGAATTTTCTTTGGAAATGGGTCTACGCCGAGCAGGCCCTGCGACTAAAAACATTTCCGATCTTAGACTGATAAAAAAATCTAAAATCAGTTGATTTCAGATGATGTATTAAAATTCAAGAAGGGTAGACATAGATGCTACGCTGGTCATTCAGCTTAATCATATCATATCATATCATATAACTGGTTTGAGTCCACTGATGCTACCAGCTTCAAATGTAAGTGAATGGGCACTGTTTATAGCACCTGTCTCAGGAAAAAAGGGTCACTCCTCATCTGCCTTATGTATTACGAAGAGCATCATGAAACTTATGGTAGGTGGGAGAAATAAATAGATGGAAATTATGACATGTCATTTCTTTGAATCTCAGCAAATATTGTACACAGCAAAATAAGATTTAAGCAAAGCTGGCAAATATACAGACACCAGACAAGAAACAAGGCAGCAAAAATTCAAAAATAAATAAATATAAAAATAAAAAATAATTGGCATAAATTTAACCTGATCAAGCCAATATTCTAAAGTAACCTGCTTCTTCACCAAACAAAGCCACTCAGTAAATTTAAAGTAAAACAAATACACTTTGAACAGCAGTTATGTGGCAAACATCACCAAAATTGTGCAAAAAACCAGAATAATAACCATAAATGTGATCCGATTGTGCCAGTTTTCAAAGCAACCTGCTTCTTTGCCAAATAAAGCCACTCAGTAAATTTAAAGTATAACAAAAATACAGTTTGGAAGTTATGGAGTGAACGTCACAAAAATTGTGAAAAAAAAAATTACCTTAAATGGAACCCTTTCATGCCCATTTTTAAAGCAACCTGCCTCTTTGCCAAACAATGCCACTCAGTAAATTTAAAGTAAAACAAAAATATAACTTAGAAGTTATGGTGCAAACGCCAAGTGTCAGACAGCGACAGTGACAACAAGAGTGTCTACATGGAGAGAAGGACCTTCCAGTGTCTGTATATAAAAAGAGGGATGCTCTCTGCATGTGCATAGACATTTGTATACCTGCACTGTGCTACCTGGAGCACTATAGACCTGAAGGGGCAATCTAAATATACTTTTACTAAGTATCTTCCCACACAAAACCTATCTATTATTATTTACACTAAATGGTAAAATCCATAGTGATCAACTAATTCTATTCACATCTTACCAGTTTCTATGATGGTACACCTTCAACATAAGAAATCACTCATGAGCTAACTGATGATTTTACTAATGCTATACTTAAATCCTGGATGACTAGCGGACACGACTAAAATGGTGGACCATTCAATGGGGACCAAATGTGATTTGATTCCTTATGTAGGTCAGGTTAAAAGCATATGACACCTGGTACCCACATAGACTAAAAATGGCTGAGCAGTACCCTGGGAAGTACATTCAGGTCATCTGGGGCTCAAATTCTTATATAAAGCTTTTCTATCTATTACATTTAGCACCACATACAGAGTGATCTATAGTTCTGCACCTCACCAATGTATCACATGTAGATCCATGCCACTAACAGGTACATAGTGCTTCTTACATTCCCACTTCACAAATTGCAAAACATCTACATTACCTGCATATCATTCATCATTACTCAAAGTGCAAATAAAGAATGAATAAAAAGATCTCTATCATCTCAGTTCATTATTTCAATATCATAAATAAAGTAAATATGTACATTTAAAAATTAAAAGTTTCAAATATAACTGAATTTTCTCTAATCGGAATGTGAATCCATATTTCACATTTTATTCATCATGCAATTCCCCATCACAGATTGTGCAGCCATTTGGATGATAAATGGTGACCTGCTGCATGGAAATTAGATTAAAGCAGTCATGAACTAGAATATCAGGAATGATACTTGTCAGCATGTGTGCAATATTGAAGGAAATGCACTTTTATTTTCTTAGATGTATGGACTAATGCTGTGCATGTTACATCAAATTTATACCCATGGCACTGTGAACTATGTATTCCTCTTGCAGAAATAGTATTATGTATACCAAAATAGTGACAGCCTGGTGCAATATTATAAACATCATAGCTTGGAAGTTGAACCCCTGGGTTATGATCATATATTTTGCCTGCATTCCATTTCTGAATCACTGTAGCATGGAATGTAACAGCACTAGTAGCTGCTCAAACCAGATAAGAACCTGTTTTATGCAGCAAGTCAGACATACATGGACAAATTGTTCGGTTCCAGACTGTGGTAACCTTTTTTGATGAAAAATTATCAACATTTCAGATAAATAATTTTGGAATTAAAAATACATTTCTACAAAGCATTTGTGGTGCTTTAACTACACAGAATAGAACTATGTTGTAATCTCCTTTTCAATTTTGTTGCTAAAATTTACATAACAATGTTCCAAGAATTTTTGACTTAATAAAGTATAGATCTGTAAAATTCACCATTTCCCCATCGAAAAGATCCGAGTCTTGAGATTTAGTAACATGGGTACTCCCAAGCCGAAAATGTGGGCACATCAGCAAAAATGTAGGAACAACCTAGAAATTGTTGGGAGCAGCACTGAAAGCCTTGCCCATGGAAAGTTATTAATAAATGTGTAACAACCTAGTATGCCCTTAGAACACCTTGAATCATCTGATTTGGTAAATAAGCGATAAATATTTTATTAACAAACCAAAAAACCTGACAGAAAAAAATTGCCAGCAGACTGGTTTTCCAACTTTTCAGTAGGTTTGAGAATCATAAGTAACAAACTATTCCCTTAATGGTCACTATGGTGGCATTGCCCAAATATGGGTTTTCAACAATTTTGATGCTTCACAGCATTATAATCATCAATATTAAATAATAAAATGTTGATACTGTGGACACTCAGAAAATGTGATGAGCAAATCTCTTCAAGCCAATGGAAGTTCAAAGTCACACCTTGAAATTGACAAAATGTGAACAAGAGAGAAACGTACATACTAAAATGAGTTCATTTCCATTTTCAATACTTTTTAACATAATGCAAAATAACCAATTTACTACTATTTTTACATGATCAACTAACAAAATTGTTGAGATTGGAAAATATCAAAACAACATCTTTAAATGTCCAATATGCTCCATTCTGAGATTCTGAACATAGTGAAGTATGGAATCTGACAAACTGCAATGATATGAGTTTATTTCCATTTCTGACACTTTTTTTATACAAAACACAATAACAGATTCTTATATAATCAACTAATTATATTGTTATGATGCAGAAAATCTCATAAGAACACTTTGACATATACAATTAGTTCAATACTGAGACTGTAAACAGACAAAAAGTAGAAAATAATGATGCACAAAATAAGCTACTGTCAATTCTGATGCAGTAATACATGATGCTTAACAGCAAAGTCCACACCAAATTTGAATTATGCACAACAAGTAAAATGGATATAAGGGTCCATTCAGAATAGATGGGAAGAGTTCTAATTGATCCACGGACTAAATATGGCCGACCCCATTTTAAAAGCGATGCTGCTGATTCTATGACCGTCTCCCCTCCTCCATCGGCGCTGTCGCTGAATGAGCCTAGCAATTAAACCTCAGAGCTGAGATTTAATCCATTTAATGGCGTGTGTAGAGAATTAACGGCACTGCTTTTGAAGTGGGGTCTGCCATATTTAGTCGGTGGATCAGTGAGTACTCAGAGCATCTACTCTGAATGGGGCCTAAATAAATTGGCACTGATGACAGCTATAGATTGGCATAAAAAGGCAGAACTTCTTTGAAACTAAACTGATCAAAATAATTTTCAAAGTCTATCTGTATATTAGTCCTATGAATCAATTGTGCAAGTTTCAAAGCAAAATATGACATGGCTCACATGTTATTACAATGGTGGATATATGCTGAAAAAGAGTGATAAAATAGCTTTTCTTTTGGAAGATGGTCCGATCATGCTGATGAAAATAACCTGTATTTTATGAAAATTTCTCAGTTCTGTAAGTTTGAAGACAAAAGTTAAAATGGTATTCCACTTGTTATTATAACCCTGAAAGTGCACAACAACAGCAACAGTGACAATGGCAACAGTGACGAAAGATGCAGGTTACGGCTACATGTACAGACACATCTGTCTGTACACAAAACAGAATTTCCTCCTTTTTCCATACAGTACGATGATTCCACACAGTACAATTATAAATTTTTGAACATTTTTCCACACGATATAATTATTCAGACANCCCTTAAATGCACCAAATTGCACCTCGATTTAAAAATTTTTCCGGGGGGGGCATGCCCCCGGACCCCCCTACTATTGCTGGGATCGCGGACTGCCTACCACCTCGCAGAGCTTGAAAGCCAGGGGAAACACTGCAATTAGTTCGATACTGAGACTGTAAACAGACAAAAAGTAGAAAATAATGATGCACAAAATAAGCTACTGTCAATTCTGATGCAGTAATACATGATGCTTAACAGCAAAGTTGACACCAAATTTTAATTATGCACAAGTAATATGGATATAAGGGTCCATTCAGAAGAGATGGTCCGAGTTCTAATTGATCCACGGACTAAATATGGCCGACCCCAATTTAAAAGCGATGCTCCTGATTCTATGACAGTTTCCCCGCCTCCACAGGCGCTGTCGCTGTAGGAGCCTAGCAATTAAACCTCAGAGCCGAGGTTTAATCCACTTAATGGTGTGTTAGGAGAATTAATGGCACTGCTTTTGAAGTGGGGTCTGCCATATTTAGTCGGTGGATCAGTTAGTACTCAGAGCATCTATTCTGAATGGGGCCTAAGTAAATTGGCACTGATGACAGCTATAGATTGGCATAAAAAGGCAGAACTTCTTTGAAACTAAACTGATCAAAATAATTTTCAAATTCTATCTGTATATTAGTCCTATGAATCAATTGTGCAAGTTTCAAAGCAAAATATGACATGGCTCACATGTTATTACAATGGTGGATATATGCTGAAAAAGAGTGATAAAATAGCTTTTCTTTTGGAAGATGGTCCAATCATGCTGATGAACATGACCTGTATTTTATGAAAATTTCTCAGTTCTGTAAGTCTGAAGCACAAAAGTTAAATGGTATTCCACTTGTTATTATAACCCTGAAAGTGCACAACAACAGCAACAGTGACGAAAGATGCAGGTTATGGCTATATGTACAGACACATCTGTCTGTACACAAAACGGAATTTCCTCCTTTTTCCATACAGTACGATGATTCCACACAGTACAATTATTAATTTTTGAACATTTTTCCACAGGATATAATTATTCGGACATTACAATTATTTGAAACTTCAGAGTATACTTTTTGGTGAGCCTTTTGTTGCACACTAAAGGGAGTCCAGTGCCCTGAATATCCCGCCGCGTAATTATTGGCAGCGCGAGCCAGTTACTATAAGTTACTATAAGTAACTGGCTCGCGCTGCCAGTAATTACGCGGCGGGATATTCAGGGCATAGACCGTGATCATAAGATAGCGCGAATAGAAAATAGAATTTAGAAAATAGACATTGCATGTGAATGAAGCCTTATTCTCTTGTAAACCAGATCAATTTATCAAAATTCACAAGTCCATCCTAGAAATCTGAGCATTCTTCATCAATTTTCAAGTCAAATATATATTATCATTACACAGCTTATCTATTTCCATCTCAAGTGAATTATATGTATAATATGATAGTGGGTGATTATTTTTTGCTACTGCATGTGCATTTCTAAAAAAATGCACTAATCTGCTTTTTTCAGCTGCCTTAAGTTTCTCTAACGTTTTGCTTGCTTCTGATCCAATTTTTCCCTAAGCAGTCTTCAGGAAATTTTGTTTTATATGTTTTCAATTACGGAATTTACGGCACTAATTAACGTGTCTGTTATCAAGTGGTTCAGGAGTTTGTCAGGGCTCAACATAAAGCACTGCCCGATTGCCCGACTTGCCCGAAAACGTCCGTCTGGCAAGTCAGATCAGAGGCCAGTTGCCCGTTCGGGTAAGTGTAAATTGGCCCAAGTACCGACCATATTTCGTCAATTTTAAGACAAAACATTTGTTCATTTTTCGATTTTGACATTAAACTGAGTAAAACACATTTTCGTTAGTTCGGCAAAGCTCGCTATCGGCGCTTCTTCTTCTTTGATATCCCGTCTATGTAAGACGCACTAGGAATTCACTTCTGGTAGTATGGGTGTAAAGTGATTAATACATAACTACTGCATGCTTGGCTACAGAGCAGATGTGGCAATGGAGTCCAAAAAGCAAGGAGCACTATTTTCTTATTTTAGCGGTCCTGACAGAAATAACATCAAAGATTCACCAAAAAAAGAAGACTCTGTGACTAAGAAAGATCAACAACTTCACAGAAAACCAAGCAACAGTATGAGCAAAATAAAAGGAAGCGCTATTTCCAAAGTTTGTGGCTTACCAAATTCAAAGGGCTCAAATACGACGACGAACTTTGAATTACCTGTCAATATTGTTCTGACCATAAGGATATTGCTGGCCCATCCATTTTTATTACGGGTTGTAAAAGTTTCAGGAAGACTGGAATTCAGGTATTTTATTCATGATATTTGCTCTGATATAAAAAATAAAGAAAAACATTCATTCATTCATTTT